GAGAAGGAACCGGAGAATATAAAAGATAGCCTGAGGACATCACAAGAAGCAGCAAGTCTCCACCCTTTGCAGCCTCAAAACTGCAAAGGTGAAAGACTTTGCTTTGAGAAGAAAGCTGCAGAGTGCCGTGTTTCAGAATGGCAGTGGCATAGAGAATTTGCTCCTCAGAATTGGATTCAGAGTGCCCAGCAATCCAGGCACTTGACCCCTATGGCCAAGGGAGGGGAAAGGTTGGCTACTGCTCTAGGTGGCAGCAGACCTTGGCATCATCTACATGGCACTGGTTTTAGGTGCATGCAGAATGCAAAAGTTCTGAGGTTAAGAAGGCTTCCACCTTGATTTTAGAAGAAGGCCTGGGAGAGCAGGCAGTGTGCTCCTGAGAGGGCAGTATATAAGGCTGTGAGTGTGACACAACAGGTGCAGTGTAGGCCTCAGAAGCTTGGAAAAGCCAGGAATGTGGATTGTCTGAGGAAAGCTGGAAGGAAGAAGCAAAGTGGGCCTAAGAGAAACCATGGGAGCTGCAACCACCAGATGCTTTAGGGACAGAGCTACATAAGGTCTTTGGAGCTTACAGTGTGCCACAGATTGCTTGGGGTGTTTGACATGGAACTACAGGACTTAATGTTTTTCCTGCTGGATTTTGGACTTGCTTTGGTTCCAATGCTTTGTATCCCCATGATTGTACCTTTTTGAATGGTAGTCTGTCTTGTGCCATTGAATGTTGAAAATGTTTAACTTTGTTTTCATTTGTACAGGGGCTCACAGCAAAGAGCTTGCCTTACATATTGGAGGAGACTTGGGACTTGGACTTTACAGCAATGCTGAAACTGTTAGGACTTTGGCAACTCTTAGAGATGGACTAAAATGCCTTTTGCATAAAGAGATGGGCATGAGTCTTCAGGGGGCCAGGGATGGAATGTTATGGTTTGTGTCTGGGTGTCCCCCCAAAGCCTCATGTAATCATTGGGAGGGCTTTTAGAGTTTTTGATTAAAGGGTATCAGTGCTATACCACCCTAGGGCAGATAGTTTGCATACAATGTAAGGGAGGGAAAGAGG